AACGTCCAATTATTTTAATTGAATTCGCTTAATTCCTGAATGTTGTTGATAATTTTATACGGGTTAGTGGGTTAACCACCTTCTAGTCTTCTTTAACCGACTCTTAGAACCGAAAGGGGAGGAGTCGGTCGAAATAGGCTCGTATAAACTAGGCTAGTTCGTTATTGTATTGTCTAGGTGTTAAATGATTTGTTAACTTGTCGTTTAAGTTTATTATCTTGTTATGAAAAGTTATTGAGAATAAGTGCTTGAACGTGCCGGTTATTCAAATTACTTAACCGAACAATCTCTTGCTTGGTAATTGCATTTACGAACCAAAACGGATATCCCCGACTCCCTAGCTCCCTAAATCCTATTTGCTCTTTATTATTGCTTTGATATTTTTATTACTTTATTTGAATTTTCGCAATAGTTGATAATTAAAACCAATCAAATCTTTGAATTAGTATGTTTAGGATTTTTATTTCTTTTATTCGTGTTTGAATAAACGCATATAGTATTCCGGCTAACCTTTCTCGTGAGACACGATCCGGTGTCGAATCTTTTGATTCTACTCCGGAAAAATATTTACAACAAATTGGCGCCGTTTCCGGGAAAGGTTTAGGTTTATTTTGTGCGCTTATTCATCTTTTTTTTTTCTGTGTTTCTCTTGTTTTCTTTTTCTTTGTTAGGTGTTATTTCTTTTGTTGATTTTGTTTTAATTTTGTTTCTTTTTATCAATCATTGGTGCTTGTAACCCTTGTTTGTTTTACTGTATGTGTACCAGGAGTGGACGTGTACTATCCCCTATTAACAAGTCGGTTAACGAGAGCTTGAGAGAGCTACTAGAGGAGCTGACTCTGGAATCACCCGAAAAAGGCGAACCTTCTCCCAAGTCGTCAGAAGAGAGTACTTAGAACATGGCTGAACAACAACAACCACCTCGCAACATCCTCTGAAACCTGGCCTAGCCCATGATCGGGCCAATAACATCTTGCATCCGGTTGCCACAAGCCGCCCGCAACTATGAGCTGAAGGTGGTGCACTATAACCAGCTACCGTCATTCCATGGTCTCCCGAATGAGGACCCTCTCCATTTCATCCAGGAGTTTTACAACGTCCTCCAGACGTTCCCTCTACACGGACTTACCGAGGACCAGTTAAAGATGTGTTGCTTCCCAAAGACTCTAAAAGACCGGGCCAAGGCGTGGTTCATGACCCTAGCCCCTGATTCTCTAACAACTTGGCCAGAAGTTTATGCTAAATTTGTTGGGAAGTACTATTCCCATCAGTAAACCCAAGACATCCGGTCCCAAATCGTCTCATTTCATCAACTGCCACACGAGCCTCTTCATGAGGCTTGGGAACGTTTCAAAGACCTACAGA